AACATCAATAAAAAAATGTTTTGACTTTTATAAGTTAGATTATGTTGTGTTATTAGGTTAGAAAAGCATATTTTTTTAAAATTTTATATAAAAATTAGTAATATACACAAAAAATGCTTTGAAATGATACCAAACACGATGGGTTTATCTTAAAAGTAGCCAAGATCGATTTTTTTCAATATGGCGGCTAAGTTAACTAGAGTTTTGAGGTTATTTTTTTGATTTTTCTAATTAACCTGGTTGTATTGGTACTCATTTTAAAGGATATTTCGTTTCCAATAAGAAAACATCAATAAAAAAATGTTTTGACTTTTATAAGTTAGATTATGTTGTGTTATTAGGTTAGAAAAGCATATTTTTTTAAAATTTTATATAAAAATTAGTAATATACACAAAAAATGCTTTGAAATGATACCAAACACGATGGGTTTATCTTAAAAGTAGCCAAAATCGATTATTTTCAATATGGCGGCTAAGTTATCTAGCGTTTTTAGGTTATCTTTTTGATTTTCAAAGTTAACCCGGTTGTGTTGGTACTCATTTTAAAGCGCATATTTCGTTTCCAACAAAAAAATATCAATAAAAAAATGTTTTGACATTTATAAGTTAGGTTATGTTGTGTTAGGTTGGGTTAGAAAAGCATAATTTTTTAAAATTTAATATAAAAATTCGTAATCTACACAAAAAAATGCTTTGAAATGATACCAAACATGATGACTTTATCTAAAAAGTAGCTAAGATCGATGTTTTTCAAAATGGCGGCTAAGTTATCTAGGTTGTTTAGGTTATCTTTTTGATTTTTAAAGTTAACCTTGTTCAGTTTGTACTCATTTTAAAGAATATTTAATTTCCTATAAGAAAATATCAATAAAAAAATGTTTTGACATTTACAGATTAGGTTATGTTGAGATAGGTTGCGTTAGAAAAACATTATATTTTAAAATTGTACATTAAAAATCAAAATCTATATTAAAAATGCTTTAAAATGATACCAAACACGATGTGTTTATCAAAAAAGTAACCAATATTGATTTTTTTTTTCAATATGGCGGCTTAGTTATCTAGGATTTTAGATTATCTTTTTGATTTTTAAAGTTAACCTTGTCGAGTTGGTACTCATTTCAAAGGGTATTTAATTTCTTATAAGAAAACATCAATAAAAAATTTTGTGACTTTGACAGGTTAGGTTATGTTGTGATAGGTTGCGTTAAAAAAACATTATTTTTTGAAATTATACATAAAAAATCAAAATCTACATTAAAAATGCTTTAAAATGATATCAAACACGATGAGTTTATCAAAAACGTAGCCAAGATTGATTTTTTTTCAATATGGCGACTAAGTTATCTAGGTTTTTAGGTTATCTTTTTGATTTTTAAAGTTAACCTTGTCGAGTTTGTACTCATTTCAACGGATATTTAATTTTCTATAAAAAAATATGAATGCATTTTTTTTTGACTTTGACAGGTTAGGTTATGTTATGATAGGTTGCGTTAGAAAGACATTATTTTTTGAAATTATGCATAAAAATTCAAAATTTATATTAAAAATGCTTTAAAATGATGCCAAACACGACGAATTTATCAAAAAAAGTAGCCAAGATTGATTTTTTTTTCAATATGGCGGCTAAGTTATCTAGGTTTTTAGGTTATCTTTTTGATTTTTAAAGCTAACCTTGTCGAGTTTGTACACATTTCAAAAGATATTTAATTTCCTATAAAAAAACATCAATAAAAATTTTTGTAACTTTGACAGGTTAGGTTATGTTGTGATAGGTTGCGTTAAAAAAACATTATTTTTAGAAACTTTACATAAAAAATCAAAATCTATATTAAAAATGCTTTAAAATGATACCAAACACGATGAGTTTATCAAAAAGTAGCCAAAATTGATTTTTTTTTCAATATGGCGGCTAAGGTATCTAGGTTTTTAGGTTATCTTTTTGATTTTTAAAGCCAACCTTGTCGAGTTTGTACTCATTTCAAGGGATATTTAATTTCCTATAAGAAAACATCAATAATTTCTTTTTTGACTTTGACAGGTTAGGTTATGTTGTGATAGATTACGTTAGAAAAACATTATTTTTTGAAATAATACATAAAAATCAAAATCTATATTAAAAATGCTTTAAAATGATACCAAACACGATAGGTTTATCAAGAAAAGTAGAAAAGATTCATTTTTTTAAATATGGCGGCTAAATTATCTAGGTTTTTAGGTTATCTTTTTAATTTTTAAAGCTAACCTTATCGAGTTTGTACTCATTTCAAAGGATTTTTAATTTCCTATAAGAAAACATCAATAAAATCTTTTTTTGACTTTTACAGATTAGGTTATGTTGTGTTAGGTTGGTTAAAAATACATTATTTTTTGAAATTGTGTATAAAAAGATTTAATCCATATTAAGAATGATGTCAAACGCCGTAAATTTATAAAAAAAAAATCCAAGATCGATTTTTTTTTAATATGGCGGCTCAGTTATCTAGGTTTTTAGGTTATCTTTTTAATTTTTAAAGTTAACCTTGTCGTGTTTGTACTCATTTCAAAGGATATTTCATTCTCAACAAGGAAACGTCAATATTATCTTTTTTACGTTTAAGTTGTACTAGAAGAGGTTATAAAATTAATATATATTTTGAAATAAAAGTGGTGTTTTTATATTCGATGCGAATGAAATAATAAAATTACTTACGCGATTACTATCAACACCTTCAACTAAAGCCCTGGTTCGTTCGCTCGCTTTTATGGTAGTCTTTAAAACGCCATCGACGTAAACGTGATAACTTTCAATTTGATTACCGGGTCCAACATCGGGTTGAGTCCAACTAATAAGCACGCTCTTGTTAAGTTGCCGTTCGAGGGTTAATTGTTTCGGTGCCGGTACTAGTATTGAGAAGAAGAGATCTGTCAATCACCGAACAATGCATTTTTTCAAATAAGCCGTGTTTGTGCTAATCACTCTAACTAGTCAGCTCGGGCCGAAAAATTAATCAATTGATTATTAAACAAATCTTATTATTATTGTTTTTTGTACTCCACGAAGTTATCTATACTAATTATTGAGGAATTTGTATTTGTATTTAATTAAATAAATTAAAAAGCGACATGCAAAGCTAATTTATAAACATCATGCGCTAAGCTATTTTTTAACGATTTTAATTTATATATATAGAACAAAAAGGTGACTAGATTTTCTAAGTAACTAGCTTAAGTTTATTTGGAGCTGACTAATTATTTCTTTTGCGAATCAACATCAAACACAAATTTAAACAAAAATAACAACTATAAACAAAAAAGCCGTATGCAACTCAACAAAAGCTTTCTACAAATTACAACAAAATTTTTTCGATAATCTCACCTTGTTCTGTGTCATTGACGTCATCTTCTTGACCTTCTGAAACTTCTGCCAACTCGTTCAGACGTTGAACGTCAGCTGCGAAGGTTTCGGCATTGATTTCCTCTTCTCGTAACGTGCTCAAAACCGCCTGATGGAACTCTAATAGGTCATCACCTAATTGTTTGATTTTTTTTATATTAAAAAAATTTTTTTGTCGAAATCGGGGTTAAGTTTACCGATTAATCGTTGTGCAAAATGCGCCGGAACCAAACCGCGGCGACCATCCAATAATTCAGCGTCTAAATATCCCCCGACTGGTTCTCCCCAAACTAATAAATAATCGCCGGCTTGGACGCTTAATTCCTCATCCGCTTCCGGTTCGGGATCGTACGAAAATCTAAATTAAAAGAAAAATAATAATTAAAGTATTAACTTTTTAATGCAAAAAGCCGTTTTGAAAAATCGCTTTTAGTTTTAAAATAACAGCCGAATTAAGAGCATTAACAGACGTATATAAGCCGGAAAGATGCCAGTACTGATCATTTTCTGTGTAAGGCAACAAAAAAGCTTAAAGTTCCAAAAACACATACACCTCCAATTCGAAATAATAATGGAAATTGGACTAACAGCAATCAAGAAAAAGTTAATTTCTTTGTTCTGAAAGAAACTTTTACATCAGACAG